CTTTTTTTTTTTTGTCAAAAATAACATAATGATGTTCTAATATAAAAAAAAATGAAATATGATATTACAACCCCAACAAAAATATATGAAAAATTACACCCTGATGAAAAAAATATACTAAATAACTAAATAAGGACATAATATATTTTTTCATAGGTTTGCCTTGTATCGTGTTCATATCGTTGTATTGAATGATGCCTGTTAATTTCCGTTCTTATCAGTGTTTTTCAACCGGGACAGGCCCGGCGGGTCGACCCGGTGCCGGAACAGGTCCGGGTGGGCTATTCGGGCCGGGCAAAGACCCGGTCAAAACCCAGTCAACCTGGCCTTGACCCGGTCGACCCAGTTGACCTGGCCATGTATATTTTTTTATTATTTTTTATTTTTTAAAATAATTTTTTTAGAAAAATAAAACTATGTTTATATATTTATATAATAAATATTTATCATGAAATACATATTATATTAACACTTTAAGTCTTTAATGTATAAATTTTATATACAAAATATTAATTTTGTTACTTTTATGTATATTTATATGATAAAAATACTCTATATATAATTTAAAAAATTTTAAAATTAATTATCTGGTTCAGCAATTGACCCGGTGACCCGGCGGTTGAACCGGTGACCCGATGACCCGGAGACTTGCCCGAGTCGATTCCCGAGCCGAATTTTAAAAACTAGGGTTCATATAATGCATACAGCCCTAGTTGTCGGTTGGGCGGGCTCGATATGGCTCTGTATGATTTATCAGTTTTTGATCCTTCTGACCCTGTTCTTGATCCAATGTGGAGACAGTGTATGTTCGTTATACCCTTCATGACTCGTTTAGGAATAACGAATTTGTCGGGAGGTTGGAATATTACAGAGGGACTATAACGAATCCGGGAATTTGGAGCTATGAAGGTTTAGTTGGGGCACATATTGTATTTTTCTGGCTTATGCTTTTTGGTAGTGGCATGGGCCTATTGTATGCATTTGTTCTTTTATTTATTTGTGTTAGATGAATCAAGAGTGATTTTCTTTCATTTTAGTTTTGAGTTCTCATAAGAAACATCAATATCGTTGGAGTCCAATACATAATTCGTATTGCAAAATTCTTCTTATCATTACGTCTAGTTAATTCAAACAAATAGAAATATTTTGGCCAAGCATAGTGTCAAACATCATGATTGTATGATCTTTATAAGGTACTTCTACGTTCATGAATATCACTTTGAAATAATCAATTGTATCAATAAAATCGCTAACATTTTTCTAGATATTGTATAAAACTACTATATTATTCTATTTTCATATAGACAAATTGATACCTACCCTATGGATGCATCGTTCCACGGGCGAGAATGAATTTAATCTCTTTTCAAAATAAAACACTTAATGATTAGAATAAAATCCTCCCCACCAACGGCCAATACTCGCCTAGAGCCTTCATGCAAGCTAATTCCAAGATGACTACCCAAACAAGATCCAAGTCCAACCCAAAACTCAGAAGCTCCGTCACCGGCTATTGAGCCCCAGTTCGAAGACGAAACCCTACTTGGGAGGCCAACCTCGGAATGGTACCAACAAAGTCGAGCCCACATCCCCAGACCAGTCGGCGACCGCCGCCAGCCGCACAGATACGCCGTTGCCGCCCCTGTGAGCCCAACCCCAGAGTCGTACAAGGAAGGAAGGGAAAAGCAACAGAGGCAGCCACAGACTCCAACCACCACCAACCGGCCGAATGTCCGCCGCCGCCACCAGCCGCCTAAAGCTAGCTTCAGCCGAACCCGCCATGACCCGCCGAGGGGAGACCCACGTGAGAACTTGACCAGCGACTCTCGGAGAGACGGCCCACGCTAGTATCGCCACGGGCTTTGACACCCAAATAAAGTTGCAGACAGAGAGAAAATTGGAAATTAGATTTTAGAGAAAATGAGAGAAAATATCTATGTATCTATACATTAAAGCGGAATCCAAATAAAGTACATAGATTTTGAGGATTCCAACGGTACATTTTCAAATTATTGAAATATGGGTGAAAAAAAAAATTTCAACGGAAATTTCTACAGCAAAATACTGTTAGAATAATGACCGTTGAAATGATTAAATTTCATCTAAATTCCAACGGAAAACTCATTCCAACAAAATAATTCTGTTAGAATTTTTTGTTGGAATCATTCCAACAGAAGCTATACCATTAGAATATCTGTTGAATTTTTATTGGAATATATAACCGTAGGATTTTTCATTGGGATATGACATTTTTTTTTGTAGTGTGAATTATTGAATAAATAACTACTTAGATGATTGACTCATCTTTTTAGTTGTTTTAGTTTTTTAGGTTGTGTTAGTTGTATTAGTGTAGTTGCGAGTTTGTCATTCTAGCGTTGCTAGACGGTTCTAGGCGATCTTCGGATCTGCCTCCCAGTTTTTAGCCGCTGCTTTCTTTTCCCACTTTGTGCGAGTTTATTAATATAGTTTGACTAGTCAAATATTCTAAATAATTTTTTTTAAACCATCCAAAACACTTCATTTTTTCTTAAAAAAAAAAGATATTAATAAAGCACCGCATTAGGTAGAGAGCATTCAACAAAAATTTAGCAAAGCGTCAGTTATAATTTATACTCCCTCCATTTTGCAATACATGTCGTTTTAGTGTGTCTTTGTTTTTGCTTATTAATTGTCATTTTAGATAATCTTGAACTAATTAATTTTATAACTAATATCTCAACTCCTAAAATATGTAGGTTAGTTTTTCTTTTTTTTTTTCTTTTTTTTCTTGTTTCTTTCACGTACTTTATCTAATATTCTCCTAACTCATTCTAACCACACCATGAATGGAGAGAGAAATTATTAAAAAAATATTTAAATAAGATTTAGGAGATTTAGATAACTAATTCTATTGATTTCGTAATTTGTTCTTTTAAACTAGAATGACAAATAAAATAAAACAGAGGGAGTAAATTGGTGACATAATTAATTATTAATTATCCGATGATATCTAAAAATAGCATGTATCCCCAGTTTTGACTGGTAGAGGTGCTGGTATGGGATTTTATGTCGGGATCTGATTGTAATGGAGACAGTATTCTTACTTGCACCTAATTTTAGTAATATGTTGTTTTTTGAGCAATGAACATCACTATCGTGTCAACTTAACTAGTTCATGTTCTCATCTTTTTTCGGCTCTCTTATCTATGAAAATTGGCAATATTATATGCAGGTGGCCATCAACAAATATATTAAACAATTGAAGCCTAACCTAATACGACCAAAACGTTTGAAATGCCATTATGTTCCATGTGGAATATAGACTCAAGTCATAGGTATGTCAATGAACAGAAGAGTTTATATCAAGTGCGGAAATTGTCTTTCGTATGGCGTATGGACTCAAGACGGTAAAAGAAATGGATTTAGTCAAATATCACCACATGACATGACAATATGGCGTAATGAACGCAACAAAAAAATAGTTTGATATTTGTCGGCAGTAAGACATTTTTATGTTATATGTTTTAATAAAAATGAATTGTGGAACAAAGAATTAAAAAATAAAACATAAACTTTTTTATTGTGAAATGAAAACTATATATAATTAATAAGAAAGTAAAAGGGTTTGTAATATTATTTTGATTTCTAGAAAATATTTGGTATGGAAAAATAATTATTTTATTTTTGTCAAAATTAAATATTCATTTATTTTGTTCTATAGTTAATATCGCAAGTGACAACAAGGATGTATTAAAATAAAATATTTTTATAAAAAAAGATAAGTAAAGAAATTTATATTTTTATAGTAAAATGATATAAAATTAAATATACAAATAACAAGTAAAAAATTAACAAATTTAATTATTTAATATAATTCATGTATTTTACACTCGATAAATATTATAATGGTATTTTTTAGATCAAATGAGGACACTCCTTAAAATGCATACGTGAGACTCAATCTTAGCCATTCATTTTTGTATAGATCAATAACTCACATTAATCAATTGAAATATTTATTAGTTAAATAATAAAAATATTAATTATTTTATTTAAATTAAATATATAATAAAAAAATATAATTACGTTGACCGGCGGTTAGAGGCGAACAAAAATCCGACGACCCCGTTTTTGTGGAAAACTCAGCCAAACTCAGGTCGGAGAAGAGGTGCTGCTCGTAGTCCTCACCTTCCTCGTCACTACTGTCGCTGAAAAAACTCATTTTACGGCCACTGACCGGCGTTTCCTAGTGTTGAGGCTTTCTGGTGAGGACCTGCGGACCTTCTGGGTTCATCTTGCCAGCAAGCAAGACTCCAGGCAGCAAAGAAATCGGCGAAGCTTGTAGGACCTGCTGACAGTAGATTTTTCTTGTGACGACAGCTTTGAGCGCGCCGACTGCGGGCCCTGACGTGCTTCCTCTTGGCCACCTTCCACGCATCGCTGCACCTCTCCAGAGGAAACTCCATCAGACGTCGGCTTCGACGCGATCAGACGGAATTTGAGCATTATCCGGCAAAGAAACTAGCGAGGCTTGTAGGACCTGCTGATGGTAGATTTTTCCGACAAGCTACTCATCACAAAACTGACTCTCTTTCAGTATTCCTTGGCCAGCGGTATCCATCAGGCTTAGGAGCTCGCAACCTGCAGTGGAGTCGACCAGTTGGTCGATCCTGGAGAGAGGGTAGTGATCCTTCGGACGGGCTTTATTCAGGTCTCTGAAGTCAATGCATACCCTCCACTTATCTCCCCCTTTGGTCACCATGACCGTATTTGAAAGCCACTATGAAAATTGTATTCCAACAACATGTCCTGCCATCAAGAGCTTGTCGGCCTCCTGATCGATGACTTTGTCCATTTCATATGTTGAGCTTTAGGATCGATGTTTAACCTCTGTTCTATTATGGTAGCCTCAATTCCTGTCAGCTCGTTTGAAGTAAATTCAAACACAACTTTAAACTCCATGATCATGTTAATGAGCTCGCCCTTCAACGGCTCCTCCAGATTTCCCCCAATTTTCATCTTCCTTTCATCAACACCTTTGACCAGTTGAACTTTTATCAGTTCTTCCCCTAGTTGAATTTCATCTTTTTTCTTTCTGCCCTCGACCTACCTACCTCCTTGCCAGAACTACCAACACCTCTGGTTCGTTCTTTTTACGAGCTACTTACTCCTTTAGCTCCCTATTGCCCCACTTTTACAATTTCCTGATAGCACTACATTAAAGTGAGTTGGTCTTCTTTGACCTCACCCACTAGCTCGCACAAAGGATACTTTATCTTCATATGGTATGTGGAAACCACCGCTTGGAATGAATTCAAGCTCGACCTCTCCAGAATAATGTTATAAACCAATTCAGCTCCCACCACCAAAAACCTTAATATCTTCACTTTTCTAGTCGAGCCTGTCCCTAGAGCCAGTCGTAATGTGTCCTCTCCCAGGAACGACTTCACCTCCATTAAATCTAAACAACGACTTACTTACCTTCTTGAGTTCCACATCCAAATCCATCTGCTTGAGGCAGACATAGAAGATCACATCCACCGAGCTCCCTGTATCAAAGAATATACAGTGGACTTCATATCCACCAACCTCTGTAAAGACTACTAACGTATCATTGTGGAGTATGTTAACACCTTTGATATCGCACGACCTAAAGCTGATGGTGGATTCTGTGGCTGTGAACCCAACCTCGTCTTTCTTTTCTTTTAGCAACTCGAGCATGCTCTTCCATGGTCTCTAACACCTCCGTAAGGTTAGACCTCAATGGAGTATACTTATCGTACCTATGGTCATCGCATACTTGCCGACCTATCTACCTATCTTCTTTTTTTTGTCCTACCTCTCCCTTTTGGAGGAGCTTTCCCTTTCTTTCTTTACTTCAGGTCAAGCTGCTTTCTCGATTTTGGCAAACTCAGCCTTGATCTCCTCTATATTGATATATTTTTAGACATGTCAAAACGGGCTAGCGGGGAGGGCTGGCCTGCAGCCCGCCAAAACTCGCCGCTTGGCGGACCTGTAAAAGCGCAGCCCGACCCAGCCCCGCCACGGGCCGCGGGCTAAAGGGGCTGGCCCCATCCAATAT